CCTCCTCTCCGGCAGCGGTGCTGCCGAGGTTTCCCCATTACCGAGGGATCTCGCAGGGAAGCTCTCACCCCCTCTCTCCAGCTCCAGCTGCTCGGCAAAGAATAGCTGCTTGATTTTTTTGCCAACCCCACGTGCAGTTCTGTCCAGCACCAGGGGAAAAAAAAAAAAAAAAGACCAAAACAAGGCTCCTCTGCAGCAGAGCCAAGAGGCAGCCTCGGGATTCAGCCCAGAGCCAGCTGAAACCCTGCAGCTGACGGCTCCGGACAGCGCTGCGTGCTCGACGTCTCGCAGCCGAGGCGGAAAATCATCCAGCCTCCGGCACCCTGCAGCTCTCCGGGCTCCGGCGCCTTAGACTGAAGATGGAAATCAATGAGAGTCAAAAAAAAAAAAAAACCAAACCCAAAGGGGCAGGGAACATCTTTAGCCGAGCTTTCCCACGAGCTTCGGTTTCGCCCTTAAAGCATAAAACCAGCCCGAAGGAGGATTGTCTGGAACCAGCGTTTGGGTACCTGTAAAGCCAATTTTCCACCTGATCCTGATCCCTTAAGACACCAGTAAAGCAGAGACACAACTGGCAGCTTCGCAGGGGAAAACCACCTCTAAGTTCCCCGCTGTTCCATCCCAAAGAGCTTATTTCTGTCTCGGAATAAATGTCACTCGAGCAACCGAGAAAGGAAATGACAAATACCGGAGGGGGAGGAGAACAGGTAGAGCCTGATGATGAAGCCAGAAACAGTGAAATTGCCCAAAATAACCACAGCTGGGAAGATCCCTGAAGATGCCTGATAACGCAAAGGTTCTGCTTTGGCAAAAGGAAGCTTGGAGAAGACCAAATTTTCCAGCCGGAGTTTTCCCATTCGCTACTTTTGCCCAAGCGCCAGGTTCCGCGTCCCGTAGCACCGGGTGCTTTTTGCCCACCACCATCCCCAGCAGCAGCAGGTCCCAGCCCAGGCTGCCATCGCCGTCCCTCCGCCGTGTTTGGGTCGTTATTTGGGAACTCGGTGCCGTTTCCACGAAATGAAACGGAGGCAGGATGGGCCAGGACGGAGGGAGAGCCCGTACCTTTTTATTATCCACCACTTTATGGATGTAGATGGTCGCTTGGGTGTACTCCCGCAAATCCCGCTGCTGTTGGCATAACAGCCCTTCTCTGCACTCTGGACAGAGTTCTGGGGAGGCACAAAGGAAAAAATAAAAATATTTAATTGCATTTAATTGAGACACAGAGTATATTCCACCTGCCCAGTGCCTCTCGCCGCTCACCCGGAGCAGCTCCCACAACCAGGGGCATCTCCCAAGCTTTGTATTTAGGACGATCCCCTTCGATCCGACCCTTTATCCGAAAAAAGGCCGTTTCCCAGGGAGCTTTTTTTAAGAACAAGAGCAGGGACAGCGGCGAAAGGTTCACTCACGGGGCTCAGAGGTGTACACAGCGCTCTCCGGGTCCGCCCCGGCGGCTCGTGTCCGGGTGATTTTGATGACTTGATCGACGACGAAGAGTTTTTGAATCCTCTCCCACTCGCTGGGCCATATGAGAGCTATACTGTGCAAAGGAACGAGAACGTGCTTTGTGACATGGAAAAGCCAAACCCCGAGCTCCTCAACAGCCTCCCCCTTTTTTTTCTTTTTAGTCTGAGAATAAAAGCAAAGCCAGAAAATCAACCCAAAACTCCAGCTCCACGGGAGGGCTGGTACGCCCAAGACGAGAGGGGAGCAGCAGCGTGTTATTAGTGACGCCGTTCCGCTCCGGTTATGCCAGAGGGAGGATGGAGGAGGAGAGGAGGGGAAGATCTGCTCCTTTTAGTTCTGCGTCGTTGCAGAAGCCACGCTACGGAGCATGAACTCCAGCCTAGCGTCCAGCGCTGCGGGCGCAAGCCTCGCGGAAAGCAAATCGTCAGGAAGGCGGATGTTTCTACACCCTGATCAAATTCAGGGGAGTTTATTGTTGGGAACTAATCAAGCTGAAGTTAAGCTCTTTTTTTTTTTTTTTTTTCCCCTTGACCCAGCATCCTTCAAGAATTTAGGTCTTGCCTTGCTAAGCTGGGCCTGAGAAAGCGTCTCTTAATTTTTTTCAAGGGAAATTTGCTCCTTGTGTTGCTGCAGCTGGAGAGATGGAAGCACCCAGCAAAAGGAGATGCATGAAGAGAAGAAACTCACAGTTTGGAGTCTTCTTTGGTCATGGAAGCGTAGGTGAACATGAGGCCGCCGTGGGGACAGAGGAGAGCGCTGTTCCCTACCGAGGACACGGGGCTGCAGCGCGTCGGTCTCCTGCGCGGGGCAAAGGAAAGCGGTTTGCAAAGCTCGCTCGGGTTATTTCGCAAACCCCAAGGAGAAATAGCAGGTGAGTATTTACAGAAGGCATTCCGACAGGGAATATTAAACCACGAGCGAGGAGGAAATCAGATCCGCGTTCCTGCGCGTTGCACAATCGCTCTCCTATCTAGATTTTCATCTCCCGCCGCCCGCAGCGCACGGAAGCAGGAGCTAGAGGTGACCTTTGCCTAGGATACAGCTCCAGACAGATGAAAAAACTAATCGGGTTACTACCTAATCCCACCATCCGGTTAAGGCACGGTAAACAAGGAAATTCTGGTTCTGACAACGTATTACAACTGATAGGAGCCCTGCGAAAATCAGCTTCCTTCTTGCCACCAGGGCAAGCCACAGGTCAGGCTCCAAAAGCAAAATCATCATCTCCAGCCCCCCGTAAAAAAGGATTAAAAATTAAAACCTTGAGTCAAGTTACCTGACAAATTTCCTCCATTCTTCTACAAAGAACTGGGAAACAATATACAGCTCGTCTGTCTCCTAGAGATGAAAAAAAGGAAAAAAAAAAAGGATCTTTTTTAATTAATCCAACAATAGAGAAGCGATGACTGTTCGGTGTTTCTGCAGCGCTCGTTCTCGTCGAGACCTCGGCGTTTTTACCATGACAACTCCATCCCAGCGCGCAGGGAAAGCCAAGTGAAATTCTTGGGGATCAAGGACTAAGCGCTTCCATTACTAATCTCGTGTTTATTACAAAAGTTAATTTAGCTTTAGATCCAATTACCTCTCCTTCGCAGCAGGAAACGGTCGTTTCCCCCGGAGCAGCTCCGACTCCCCAGCACGGCGTTTGCTCTCGCCGGGTGCTCAGGGTCTCAAGCAGAGGCATCTCTGCACCCCATGGGTGTGGGGTGGGACCTCCCCAACCCGCCTCATTTGCTTCACCCACCAAAATCCCAAAGTTTCTCTTTTTTCAGGATCCAAACCACAGCCGTGCGCCCTCACGAGGCAGCGGGTTTGGGACAAACCCTTGTTTTCCTGCCCCGAATGAGCTGCCAGGAGATCAGGCTGCTGCTGGGCAAGAAACCACCTGGATCCAACGAGGTGGGTGACAAAATTTCCACGCTCATACATCCTCGCCATTTTCCCTAACAAATTTAAGGGCTCACCCCATCTTTCTGCAGGAAAATTCAGCACACCTGAGGAATATAGAGATTTTTTTCATCTCCCTTCATCTTTTCTAGATTAAACCTCTCTGCGTATTTTCCTCCCCAAACCTCAACTGCTCTGGATCAGGAAAACTCAAAAAACTTGAGGGAAAGCTCCTCAGCTCTTTTTTATCAGGCTCCCTGGGGAAATTCAAAGAGAGTGGAGGATGCAGCCTCGAAAGACCCTCATTCTGAGCTGACCCACGGTGATGGGCTCCAGCTTTCCATCCTCTACTCCAGCTACAAAAGCAAACCCAACCAGACACCACCATAAACACCACCGGTGGGACCCGGCAGCTCCTTTTGGGGTTCCCCAGTTCTGCGACACGGCTCCGTGCTGACCTCAACATTTATCCCCGGCTGGAGAAGGCACCAGGCTGCCCTCGCGACTGAGCCAAAGCAGCTCGGCAGGATCCAAGAGTCAACCATTCATCAGCACCGTGAGACGGCCGGGAGCCGAGGCAGGGAGCCAACGGCTTGGGCTGGTTCTTTGGAGGCTCCTCAAAGCCCCAAGAAAATCCCAGAGAGCTGCAGGCTTGTAGCGGGGAGAATCACAGAATCATAGCATCATGAAGGTTGGACAAGACCTCAAGGA